TTGTCGAGAGACAAAGAAAAAGAAGATTGTGTTGATGAGCAGCTATGTAGCAAAGAAAGAAAGTCATGGAACATGTCTCGGTTGCTTGCTTGCACCAGCCTCAAAAGCTTTGTAGCCTATCTACAGTAGCTTCAAGCTTTGCGAAGTGTGACCAAAGATGAAAGTTATCGAATGTCTAGCATCGGTCCAATGGACCAATTTGCAAATTCTGACATTCTCCTTAGAGGAGACCTCCTCGCCAGCTTCTAAGAGCATCCACCACGTAACGGTCTTTGCGGTTAAGTAAGAACACGAACAACGCTGTGAAATGGCCTCGCGAGAGATGGAGCATCGCCCGATGCAGAGGAGATTCGCCTTCTTGACTCTGAATCTGATGCTGAATTTAACGCGGTCCTGTTCAAGGGCATGTCTTTGTCTGCAGTGATGCGCTCTCACTTGCGGCTTCTTGGGAAATAAGACACCCACACAACAACAATTGATGGCGGAGTACAAGAAATCGCTGGTTGGTCGTGATGGGGGTCACGTCGTTCAGTCTTTGATCGCCTGGGTTTCAAGAAGCGGTCGTCACCTCGTGAGAAAGCTGAGCGTGGTGAGCGGTGCGAATTCAACTTGCTGTGGCACTTGTCACAAGAAGGGACACTTAAGTCGAGACTGAGGAGGCTCGTGAAGGAACCTCCAGTTTCAAAGGGCGACGGCAGCCAGGCGACAATCAAGACGCTAATGGAGCCAGGTATACATGTTCAGTGGACATCCAGAGTACCCCATACACGTTGTGGTTGGATTGCGCAGCAACAACGTCAGTGAGGGAGCTCTTCATGACACTCCAGCCATTTTCTGGTGAAGTGTTCCTCATGGATAATCGCCCGCTGCCAATTCTTGATATTGGATCGATCCAGATTCAAGTTCCAGATGGCAAGGAGGTTGTAATTCGTCATGTGTGGTACGTTCCTCACTGGACACTCTCATTTCCATCGGTCAGATGGTGGAACAAGAGTTTTTGCTGCTTTTCTCAAGTACTGGAGTGGACAGCAATCATCCACGATATGGACCAGTGGCTTGGGCAATGAAGGTTGGCAGGCTTTTCAAGTTGGTTTGCTCCGTGCAAATCCTGAACCAGGTGATGGCGACAGTCCCTGTCACCTTCCTCTTCAGGGGGAGCAGCAGATCTCTTGACTTGGCACTGGAGATTGGGCCATGTCAATTAACAAACTATTCACGAGATGTCACAAGCTCAAGTGTGGATGGTTTGCACATAAAATCCACCAAGATGCTCTGTGCGAGCCATGCCTTATGGGGAAGCAGCAGCAACATTATTTATCTGGATCTACCTTGTGCAGCTCAACCTTTGACACTTCTGCACTCTGATATTTGTGAACCGTTTCATGTTCATCCAGACACGCCACAATTCATTTCTTTTATTGACATGCTACAAGATTTGCAGTGGTCGGATTCCTTTCCAGTTTTCCATGTGTACAAGCTTGAGGTTGAAAAGCAGTGTGATGAAACTATCAAAGTGCTGAGATCTGATGGAGGTGGTGAATACACTTCCAGAAGTGAATATGACTGTCCGGTTGAAGTGCTTGGCCACCCCGTTCATCTTTGGAGTATATGGGACTGTAACTTCTCTCTAGATTCCTGCTTCCTCACAGACGAGCGCAAAGTCTTTGGAAGTGTATTCACCACCTCCATCACGACTGCTGCTTCTCAACGTCAAGCTTGTACACGCAGAAGACTCGAACTGTTTCATCCTTTTGTTGCAAGGAACTTGACCGCTTGAAATCTCCTAGCATCCAGATGAAGTACCTCTTTCTGTGGTGTGTTTGGACCTCCACAAATATCAGCGTGCAGAAGTGCCAAAGGTTGAGCCACACACAAGCTAGATGTAGAAAAAGAACTGTCACTGCTTCCCCAGACATGGCTCGCATCTTGGTGGATTTTATGTGCAAACCATCCCTTGAGCTCGTGACATTTCATAAATGGCTTGTTAATTGACAGTATATATACATGATCAACAGTCGTGACTATCCTACACCTGGATCAGTGATGTGGCAACTCATGCCACGTAGACTCTCATGTCATGGAGAGTGTATATCTCCAACAGCTGCTGCTAGTGCTGCTCTTGATTATGCCATCCAGCTTCTCCTGTGATGATTTGAGTTGCTCCCAGCCAGGCGTAGATGGATCTCTTGAAAGAAACCAATCCCTGGAGAAACTAATGCGGACTCAAGTCTTCAACTTGTATAGATTAGTATTACACAGCTAGTGAATACAGGAATGAACAGAGTGACATCCTAAAACATATCTCCGGTGGCTCTCTTGTCACCATAATGCTCATCCTCCTGCGTGCATTAAGAAACCGAAACTGTCGTGAAAAACACAAGGCACTTCTACACAGGAACAATAAAATCATATCGCATTGAAGTTTAGTATTTGGGTGCCAAAGTGGAAGCTTCTACATTCTCACATTGCTGCAGAATATGAACAGTATATGCTTAAGCAGCTATAGAAGATGAAGGTTAGTGAAAGTAACCTCTGAGATTGTCGTTACTACCACGACCACTACCACGACCTCGACCACCACCGCCACTGCCACTGCCACCGTTGACTTGGTTGCTGTCAGCACTTCGCGATGTCCACGTTCATGTTTTCTAGAGCAAACTTTGTAACCAATGAAAGGATCTCTGTGCCTGGGAGGTCTTTCATTGCTAGTTGAATCATCTTCTGAGAGTTGTGGCTTGTCTTGGATCTGGATATTGGCATGAGTGGTGCCCGAAGAACTTCCAATGACGAAAGACTTTTCTGCAGCAGACATAGTCAACGATCATAGAAAAGAAAACCAGCACGACAAACCCGCAGTGTATCTAGCAGTCATTGCAGTTCTCCACACGCGACTGCAATGGGAATCAGATCATGTTCTGGATAGTGGAATGTCTTTTCTGCCTTCCTCCCGATCTCATGATTACAAGCTCCCATCTCTTCAGAAAGAGGCTTAGCGATGGCAGCTCGCTGCCATCGCTAAAGTGCATTTGTCCCGGAGACGGATTACGGGGCTGGAGCAAGAGCAATTTGCAGGCGACTTGTAGCTGGAGATGACAAGAGTCCAGTCAGTGACATTGCTATTGTGAAGCTTGGGGTGGTGGGGGTAAGGGCGGATCCCACCGAGCTTGCCTGAGAGCCGTTCATCATCCTCTTTGGTTGGCCACTGTTTGAGGGTGGCCTATCCTGCGAAATCTTTGTAGCTTTTACTAAAAATAAATTCTAAACAGTCAAAGCAATTATATGAAAATAGCAAGGAAAATACTAGGTTTTTCCTTGGTATGACCACTTGACAGCTTGTAAGATGATTGACCACTACGAGACCTCAGAACAAGAGACGATCAGCCTCGTCAGCGCCTATGTCTTGCTCCGCCGGAATGCACCCATGAACCTCCAGGGGGGCAACTCCTGCACACGAAGGGTTCCTGGCCACCACACCACGGAAGAACTTCTCCGCCGTGGCCAAGCGCATTGCGAGCTGGAACGCGGACGCAGCCGTCTCGTCCCTGAACACAGCCTGTCCATGCTGCATCGCCGCGGAGTAGCTTCCCAGTGCCGCCCCATGCACCCACGCAAAGCTTGCATACATGTAGTTCCCAGTCTCCAAAGCCATGCGACCCATGATGCTCCACATCTCGTGTTGCTGACTGTTGAGCATCAAGGACCTCCTCGCCGACAGGATCGCTCATGAGCTTCCGTGCTCCTCCACTGTGACAAAGCCAGCCAAGTGTGCGTCCCACCAAGCTGGATTCAATTCCAGAGCATGTTTTAGATAATGCGTGGCTTCCTTTAAGTTCTTTGCAGGAGTCTGTATACGCATCATATTCAGCTCCTCCCCCAGTATCAAAACGGCGAGTCTAGTCTCGACGAGGCAAAGCATCGCAGCATCCGTGCTCGTCTGGAGCTCGGCCAGCAGCTGATCCTTTGCCATGCCACGGACACTGGCGTCCAATCTCTCCATGGCGCTGTTGGTCTCGTCGATGCAATCACTCGCGCTTGCACCTTTTCCCACGCACAATCCAGCGGGAACCAGATCCGACAGGCAACAATGAAGTTGGGCAGCCAGCAAAAGTCGCCGAAGTATCGGCCATAGTCGTAGTAGCCCCTGAGTGATGCACTGTCAAGCAACTCATCCCACTTCTCCTCGGTGATATTCCCATACTTGTTGGAGAAGTGAAGCTCTTCGCTGCCGGCAATTCTGGAAGCTCTCCTGAAGAAGAAGGACCGACCATCATAACAAAGGCCGCCCTACGGGTCGACGGGGCTCAGATTGGTTTCCGTAACGCTTCGGGACACGTGGCCGTTGCATGACATAGGATATTTTGGTTGCATTTTTCCATTATTTTCTACATCTAAGCGTGACATCAAGGCATCTTTCATAAATTATATCTTGGATCTTCAGGCCTTAGATCTTCCAGCTGATGCAGACTGCGACATTGAGCTCGTGGGAAAATCTTCGAACTTTTTCGTCACTTTGGATCTGCGACAGGTGCTGTTGGCCACACACAAAAGTCTGGATCTTCGCATAAATCTTGTGTGTAAGCTCTGAGCCTCAAAAGAGTAAGCGGACCTCGTGTCGAGTGAGTTGATAGAGGCTTGTATCCACAGTCCCGGAGTTACGTGCTAATTCGCATCTATTCGCCACAGCTTACTGACACTCCCATCGCCAGGGATCATGACAAGAACAAGTTTTCGTGTAGATTGCCAAGTTGGGGGGGATGGAGTCATCGCTCTAATGAGTATGTTTCTCTTTTCATTCCAGTTGCGTATTGCCGAATCATATAACCTTGGAATTTATTTGAAGTAAACGTTACAAAGATTGAGCTCAAAGCTTTTGGTAACCCTGGTCACGTGGTCAAGACCGGTCAAGTAGTCACAGCTGGCACTTTAAATGTTGAGAACTTGCCTGATGGAGGTTTGGCCAGCGGTAACTTGGATTTCGAATGCTAGACAAGAAAATGTATCTAAGGGACTGGATGATCCTGGTTGACAAAAATGTTAGACAAGACCACATACGGAGTCGCCTTGTCGTCCTCAATCCAATCCATGGATGCCGCCTCTCCACCTCCTTCCAGATCCAAAAGCCGTGAAGCAGCACGCTGGCCGCACCCTAGATCACCATGGATCCCACTGCAGCACAACAAAGTCCTCCAAGACACGAGATCAGGCTCAAACGGCATAGACTCCGTGAGCTCTTCCGCTTGCTCCAGCATCCCCGATCGACCCAGAAGATCAATCATGCAAATGTATTGATCCAAGCTTCGGATCATCGCAAAGCTCTCCTCAATGTCCAAGAAGAGCTGGAGCCCGACCTTCAGGAGCCCCTTGTGGCTACATGCCGAGATAGCGATGTTGAAGGTAACACCGTCGGGATCCTCGCCCTGGACGAGCATCTCCCAAAAGGCCGCCAGCCCGAGCAGAGAATGCCCGCTTTGGGCATATGCTGCAATCATCCCATTCCAAGCCACAAGATCTCTTCGTTCAATACAATCGAAAAGATCTCGCGCAGTAGCCAGGCAGCCACACTTTGCGTAGAGATTGACCATGACGCTCGTCATTGTCACATCGGCGGCGAGATCCTTGGCGGCGGCCAGCTCGTAGAGGAGCTTTCCCTCCGCGAGAGCCCTGGCGTGAACGCACGCATCAAGAATGCTGATGAAGATCACCTTGTTGATGGGATACCCGTGGAGATCCATCGACCGGAAGAGCTCCAGCGATTCCTGGAGATGGCCACGCTGCGCATAGCCCTCGAGCATCGTCCCCCAGGCCACCACGTCCTTGTCTTCCATTCGATCGAAGAGCCCCCGCGCCTCGCCCAGATCGTTCCTCCGGACGTAGCCATCGATGAGCGCCGTCCAGGAGATCACGTCGCGCTTGGACGGCCCCATGCGCTGGAAGAGACCCCGCGCTTCTTCCACCCTCCCGATCTGCGCGTAGCCAGTGATCATCACGTTCCAGGTGACGGTGCTGCGCAGCTCGGGCGGCATCCGCTGGAAGAGCTCCGCAGCATGATCCATGGATCCGTGCTGCGCGTATCCGGAGATCATCGCGGTCCAAGAGACAACTGTGCGAGCCGGGATCTCCTCGAAGAGCGCCCTGGCTTGATCAAGATGCCCCTTTTGGGCATATGCGGTGATCATTGCGGTCCAGGTGACCACATCCGGCTGGGCGGCTTTGTCGAAAAAATCCCGTGCTTGTTCTACGTTGGAATTCTGGGAGATTCCAACAATCATAGTGTTGTATGTTACAACGCTTCTTTCCGGGATCTCATCGAAGAGAGCTTTCGCATCTTCAAGATGCCCAGACAAGGCAAGTGCTGTGAGCATTGCGTTCCAGGTGATGACGTTCCTGTGGGAGATTCGATCGAAAACAATCCTTGCGCTTGCGAGATCACCGTTTTGCGAGAACGCAGAGATCAAGGAGTTGTAGCTCGCTGTGGTTCTGTGCAGCATCGAATCGAACAGCCGCTTTGATTCGAGGATTTGCCCCTTGAGCCCGAACGCGACGATCATCGCGTTGCAAGCGAATGGATCCCACTGCGGCAGCCGATCGAACAGCTTCCTCGCGTCGCTGAATCTCCCATTCTGGGAGAGCGCCGCGAGCATGGAATTCCAAGAGACCTCGTTGCGGCAGGGCGCGGCATCGAAGATTCTCCGCGCCTCGCGCAGATGCCCGGTCCGGGCATACGCCGAGAGCATGATCGTCCAGGAGAAGGAGTTGGGGCTCTCGATCCGATCGAAGGCCGCGCGCGCGGCATCGACGCTGCCGCAGCTGCTGTACATCTGGACGAGGAGATTGCCGAGGAAGGTGTGGCGATCGAAGCCGAGAGCGGTGAGGTGCTGGTGGAGGGATCTGCCATCGCCGAGGGACTTGGACCGCGCATGCTGCCGCAAGAGCGAGGCGTAGTGTTCTAGCGAAGCCGAGGACAAGCAAGAGGAGGAAGATCGCGCTAAAGCCACCTTTGATCAAATCAAACCATGGGAAATCCAATCCTTTCTATCAATGATTTGTATGTACCACGGTGGTTGCGTCTCTTTGCAGCGCGCATTGATAAGCTTGATTTTGCGGTTAGAAGTTTCAGACAAAAAAAAGGTGGATGGATGGATTTGTCTGTCCGATCACGAGCATTGCCGCGCTGGGGATGAGCGATTAAATTCCCGTGGACTCTCGGCGACAAGGTGTGAATCGCGCGAGATTATAAAACAGTGGGGGAAACCCTGTGCGTGATCCATATGGGATGAAAAGAAAAAAAAAATGCTCTCTCTGCTATTTAATTCCCTCGATCGCTTGGTGGGAGTTCTTCGAGCACGGGAGTTCTTCGCCCACTTGCAGCGAATTTGTGGAGCACAATCGTTGCAACTTGCAAACACGCGCCAGAAAAAAAGAAAAGAAAAAACAAGAAAAGAATTCGCGTTGGGAAGAATGTACGATCGCGAAAACGATGGAAACTTACAGCCCCACGCTTCCGCAACGATCAATGACGAGCACTAGTGAAACCATCCTCTGGAAATCGAACACTCAGGCATCGTGAACAGGAAGAAACGCTTGGATAAACCCAAAAAGAATTGGATCACTGATCGCAAACATCGTTGTATGATCCGTGCGGGGGTCCCGAGCGAGCGAGCGAGCGAGCGAGCGCTGCGATCCCAAGCACGCAAAATTTCTCTTTCCTTGTCGTGATCGCTGTGTGGATCTTCAGCGTGTGCCAAGCAAGGGGAATAGTGTAGTCCAAAGACGAGGAAAAACAAAGCCAAGAAAATGTGGGTGGGGTTTCTAGGCTATAGTTTATTATGGATGAGCAAGAGGAGCAGCAAGATGCGGAGGACGCGCTCGTCCTCTTCCCAGCACCAGCGCCAGCGGTAGCACCAGCAGCAGCAGCGCCGCCACCGCACCAGGTAAGCGATCGATCCATCGCCGATTGATTGATCGGCGGCGCGGCCGATCGATCGATCGATGCATCGCCCGCCCTAGCGCCGCCGCTTAGGTGTCTGTGATCGCATATTTCCTTCGATTCTCCTTCGATCCGTGCTGAATCGCTTGTGGATTTCTGGAATTGCCAGGCTGGGGTGCCGCTGCCTGTGACGGGGTTTCTTTTCTTTCTCCCCGTGTGTGTGTGGGGGGGAAGGAGAAGATGAGAGAGAGATAAAGAGCTCTTTTGCCTTTCTTCTTTGTTCTTCTACCACTTCGTGTGCGCAACTTGGACTGGGAGACTAAGGCCGGATCACGGGCGATGGAAAATGACTGTCCTGAGCACAGAGAAACGCAGAGGTGGTTGTTGGCAGTGATTGGATTGCTTGCTTTCTTCTCTTGCGGCTCGCCTCTACTTTATTTTCTTTCTTCCCCCTTTATTTTCGGTGATTGATCTTCTTTTCTTCCTTGACGCTCAGGGAGCGCCGGCGAAGCAGCGGCGAAGATGGTTTCTACGATGCGACTTAGATCCTCGGTGTTTCAGTTCCAGCAACTTGTGGAGAAAGGTGCGAAGCTAGAGCTTTATGATTTCATGATTTCTCACTTCGTTTTCCTCTGTTTTGCTTCCTTCCAGGATCATCATCACCAGCAGCTCGTCGCCTGAGCTTGCGATGAATTGTCATAGCGGTCAGCGATGTTTGGAGGCCACAGGTGCAGCACGGCTGGGCTGAGGCAGCAGATATTACCTGGTGAAGAGCTCGAGGATCAAGCGTGGCTGCTCCGGCCCAAAGTCTTGGGAAAGCCTGCCGGTACTCCGGATGTTAGCCTCGATGCTTTCAGGGTCTGGAAGTCGGTGGTCTACCGAGGTGCCAGTCTTCCAGCCGGTTTTGTCGACTTGGAGCAGCTTTATCAGTTTGAGGCACTCGGACAGGCAGTGTTTTGCACCGATCTCCATGGCGATATAACGTACTGGTGTGTATTTTTCGAGCGCTCCACGCTGGTGGCTTTCCGGACTTACAGCCTTTTCTGTGTTTGCAGGAGCAATACCGCTGAAGCGTTATACCTCTGGAGAAAAGAAGAAGTTAGTGGACTGAACGTACTCAACATCCTTTTCCCCTTGGACGCTCTCAAGTCATCAAAGGAAATCCTTGCTCACGTTGGTCAAGGAAAGCTATGGTCGGGAGAGCATGCTTTTCTCAGGCGCGACGGCGTTCTTATCAATACCATGGTTATGAGCAGTCCACTTATGGGTAACGGCCGCCAGATTCAGGGTATTGTTGCAATCTCTTCGCAAATCGACAAGCCAGGCAGCATGAGAAGCCGAGAACCTGAACGGATGGACTCGGATATATCTGAAAGCTCCATATCAAACTTGGAGCGGGTCGATTCCATGCAGCAGCACTCCAACTTGCCAGCAGGAACTGGAATCTTTGTAAGTCCGCATGCCTTCGATATTTTCGCGGGATTTTGTGTTTATTCAAGCTTTCTATGCAGAGGCTGGGATTAAGTTCCATGCAGTACCTGTTCCGGAGGTTTGGTTTTGGAGCCGCCAAACCCGAAGAAGATCAGGCAGCTGCGGCACAGGACCACCAAATGGCGTCTGAATCTTCAGACCTCCTCCACATAAGCTACGGTGGAGAGTATTACTCGGGGAATTCAAGTCGTCAAAACTCACCACGGATCCAAAAAGCTTCTGATCCTAACAGCGACGAGAGACTCGGCACTCCTGATCAGCAATCCAGGAGTTACGTTCCATGCAGTGAAACCGCTGGGGGGAATTTCATGTCCAGATTTAACGCTGGTTTACCCGCTGGAGGAGCTTATGGAAATGTCCCAGAGTCACCAAGAAATATCATGGTTGACAGTTGGTACTCACAACAACAACAGCAACAAGCTGCCGAAGATGATTTTCATCTTCAAATGGCACTTTCGCTGCGGGTTCCTTCGGACAAGCCAGATGCAGATGCAGACGATTCCAGTACGAGGACGGGAAAATCATCTTCCGACGTGACTAAAGCCGAGACTACGTCTTATCGCTATTGGGTAAGTTCAATGACATCTTTCGATACTGCGAACTTGATACGTGCTTCTCCTTTGCAGGTGACGAGCTCTCTAAGTTACGATGAGTGGATTGAGGATGGCTTTTACGAGCTGTGGGGAATGAGTCCTCATGTCTGGAGCATTTGCACTGACTCTTCTGAGCAAGGCCGGATGCCTCCATTGGAATCTCTACGTCGTGTGCATCCATCAGAGGCAGTCTTCGATGTGGTGCTCGTGGACAGAAGTGTAGATCCCGCGCTATGTGCACTAGAAGACAGGGTGGTCAATCTAGCGTACGAAGCAAACGAAGTCTTTGATTTAGCTTCTCAACTGGGAAAGCTAGTCGCAGTCGAGATGGGGGGCCCTGCTGCTTCGGACGATGATTTGGTTGAGACGTGGCTGCAAAATCGTTTGAAGCTGATGCAGATCTCCGGGAGTGTGGTTCTTCCAATCGGACTCATCAAGGCTGGTCTCTCTAGGCACAGGGCTCTTCTTTTCAAGGTGAGTCTTCTCCATGTAATCACCAGTCTTTTAACGCAAGAAGCTGTGTTTTTCCAGGTGCTAGCAGATAGTGTTGGCCTACCGTGTCGCCTTGTCCGCGGCCACCCCTTCTGTGCCAAGGAGGAAGACGCTTTTGCTCTCGTTAAATGCAACAGCGGGAGGTAAATCTTCGTCATGCTCGCGACGTCTTAAGAGCTGAATTTTGTCGTTCCATGTTGCAGGGAATGGGTCGTAGACTTAGTCTGCAAACCGGGGCTTTTGCTTCCACCCGAAACAAGAACTCCTGTATCTGCTGGGATGGGAAGCCCTTCTTTGCGACAAACGTCCTCATCCTCCCCGGACTCAGCTTCTAGTTCCGTTTCTATTAAAAGATCAAACTCTGCGGACGAGCCGCCAAATCCAGAGAAGGGTGAACAGGAAGGCAGGCCGGTGGATTTTATTAGCAAGACGACTCGCTTCAAGGAAAGGACTAGAGAGGAACTCATAGCAAAAGCAAGAGAAAAAGAGGTTGACCAACAGAAAGCTATAAAGATGGCAAGTCACGTAGATGACTACGAGATCAAATGGGAAGACGTCCATATTGGTGAACGCGTTGGGCAGGGTATGTCAACTCTTCCAGTTTTCTAAATTTGCTAACTGTTTATTTTCCAGGTTCTTTTGGAAGGGTCTATCACGCTGACTGGCAAGGCTCCGTAAGTGGATTTTCTAGACTGAGCTTTATGAAACTAAGTTTGGACTTCACAGGATGTTGCAGTCAAAGTTTTCCTGGATCAAGACATCAGGTCTGAAGCGCTTGAAGAGTTCAAACGAGAGGTATACTTTCTATCACTCTCTCGTGATCTAACTGGTCCGCTTTAGGTGGCGATGATCCGTCGGCTGCGGCATCCAAACATAGTTCTCTTCATGGGAGCGGTCACACAGCCTCCAAACTTATCACTGGTTACCGAGTTCTGTCCAAGGTATTTCAGACACTCAATTGCCTCCCTTCAAGCAGTTCTTAAGGTGTCAAGTTTGCAGAGGGAGCCTATTCAGGATTCTGCAAAAAACCAAACTGGATGAGCGTCGACGCCTACGTATGGCCCTTGATGTGGTAAGCATCATGCCAGTTGAACACTTCTTCTCACACGCATGTAATCAGTCCAAAGGAATGAATTATCTCCATCGATGCTGTCCTCCTATAGTACACAGGGACTTGAAATCCCCGAATTTGCTAGTGAAGGAAAACTGGACGATCAAGGTGATTTATCAAGTGAACAAAGTGTGCTGTTGCTTAATAATTGTCCACTGCTGTACAGGTGTGTGATTTTGGATTGTCGCGCCCAAAGAACAACACTTTTCTTACTTCTAAAACTGGAGTTGGAACGGTAAGCAGCCGTTCTGATTCTGGCTTTTTGCTTTTTTCTTACCGTGAGACGTGTTGCAGCCCGAGTGGACTGCTCCAGAGGTTTTGCGCAACGAGCCATCTGACGAGAAGTAAAACATGAACTTTCTCCGTGGCACCAGAGTTTTTCACGTCACTTCGCTTTTCCTTTGTTTTTCTCTGGACAGGTGTGATGTCTACAGCTTTGGGGTGATTTTGTGGGAGCTTGCGACGCTCCAGCAACCGTGGGCTGGCATGAACTCCATGCAGGTTCGAGAGAAAAAACAAAGCAAGCTTTTTTGGTTCTAGTTCTAATCTCGCTGTTCCAGGTGATTGGAGCTGTGGGCTATCTAAACCAGAGGCTGCCAATACCCGACCACATCGAGCCGGGGATCATAGCATTGATGCAGGCTTGTTGGTCCTCGTAAGTTTCCAAGATTTCTAATCAAAATGTTACCCTTTTCGTTTTCTTTCTTGCACAGAGACCCAAAAGCTCGGCCATCTTTTGGCGAAATAATGCACAAACTAAAGACACTGCCGCGGTACGCCTTCACAAAACAGTCGTGAGAGTCTCGTGAAGAAGAAAAGGAGAGTTTCTTCTGTACAAACATTTTGGATGCTCTCTTCTCTCGTGTAATTTAGCATGGTTTTTAGCTCTCATAATTTTACCTTGTGAGTTTGGGCCCTTTGTGTTGTTATATATATTTGCGTCGAGGGTTTTATTTGCCAATGGCGACACGTATGAAGACGAGGTGGCGCCGGCTCTTGGCTTGGAGCATCCACAGCTCTGCCAAGTTGTAGATCACACAAGTTTCTAGGCTAGAATTAGAGCGAGCGCGCAGCACGCATGGCTGGGAATGAGTGGATCAATGGATATTTGGAGGCGATTCTTGATAGCGGCGTGGGGATCGACGAGCAGCGCGGCGGCTCGAGCGATCGCAAGGCGCCGCCGTCGCCCGATCTTCTGGGATTCAATGCCAGCAGGTACTTTGTGGAGGAGGTCGTGAGTGGATTCGATGAGACGGACATCCATAGAACCTGGGTAAAGGTCAGTTGGTCGATTGCTCTTCTTTGCCAAGCATCGCGGCTATACTAGAGTTTTGTAATCGATCGAATGGAGTGATTTTCGCAGGCTACTGCCACCAGGAATGTGAGGGAACGAAGCGCTCGATTGGAGAACTTGTGCTGGAGGATTTGGCACCTTACCAGGAAGAAGAAACAGGCAAGTTTTTGCCCTCTTTGGTTTTTTTTTTTTTTGGTGTTCTAATTGTTTCGACGATAGAATGAAGCCGAGCACGCACAGCGCGTGTCGCATCGCAAAATCCAGCGCGAGCAGGGCCTGCTGGAGACGACCGAGGATTTATCAGAGGGAGAGAAGGCCGATCCTCCCGTGGAAGTTGTCCCCAACGAGAACGAGAACGAGAGCTCGATGAAGAGGATCGCCTCCGACTTGGAAGAGACGTGCAACGCTCCTTCGATCGCTCCCGCTAGCGACGAGCAGCAGCACAAGGAGAGAAAGCTCTACATTGTCATGATAAGGTGACGCCATAGATCATACTATCTCTACGTAGTTTTCTTCCTTTGTTTAAACTTGTTTTCTCCCTCGCAGTCTTCATGGTCTTGTTCGTGGAGAAAACATGGAGCTCGGTCGTGATTCGGACACCGGAGGCCAGGTGAAACTAGAAACTTCTTCGTTTATTCTTTCGCAGTCTTGACTTTCGAATCGTATAGGTGAAATATGTTGTCGAGTTCGCGAGAGCTCTGGCTTTGATGCCGGAAGTCTACCGTGTCGACTTGCTCACGCGCCAGATCTCCGCTCCCGACGTGGATTGGAGCTACGGTGAGCCGACCGAGATGCTGTCCTCGGACGAGAACGTAGCCGGCGAGAGCAGCGGTGCTTACATCGTCCGCATTCCCTGCGGACCGCGAGACAAGTATCTCCGCAAGGAGCTCCTCTGGCCTTACATCCAGGAGTTCGTCGACGGCGCTCTCTCGCACATCCTCAACATGTCCAAAGTCTTGGGAGACCAGCTCTCGTCCGAAAATCGCGTGTGGCCTTATGTCATTCACGGGCATTACGCGGACGCCGGTGACAGTGCGTCGCTGCTCTCGGGAGCTCTCAACGTGCCGATGGTGCTCACGGGCCACTCGCTGGGGCGGAACAAGTTGGAGCAGCTTCTCAAGCAGGGGAGACAGTCCAAGGAGGATATAAACTCGACGTACCGTATCATGAGACGGATCGAGGGGGAGGAGCTCGCGCTAGATGCGGCCGAGCTGGTGATCACCAGCACGAGGCAGGAGATTGTGGAGCAGTGGGGACTTTACGATGGATTCGACGTGAAGCTGGAGAGAACTTTGAGAGCCCGGTTGAAGCGTGGAGTGAGCTGCCGAGGTCGTTACATGCCTCGGATGGTGGTATGTTTCTTTTTCTTGTATATGTTCTTAGTTGGTTTTGATCCTCCTCTTGTGTTTTTCTTTCAAGGTGATTCCACCCGGGATGGATTTTAGCAATGTGATTGTCCAGGACGCTGGTGATGTTTTCGAAGGCGAGGGGGACGTTGCGTTCACTGGCACGGAAGCGGCGGCAGTGATGCCAGTTTCTCCACGGCCACAGCCACCAATCTGGGGAGAGGTGACAAAAAAAACTGGTTTTTGTACGTGTTTTCAACGATTGTTCTTCGTTAACAGGTGATGCGTTTCTTCGTCAACCCTCACAAACCCATGGTTTTGGCTCTTGCTCGTCCGGATCCCAAGAAGAACATCACTACACTGCTCAGGGCTTTTGGAGAGTGTCGCCCCCTTCGAGACTTGGCAAACCTCGTAAGTACTTCAATCTCACGGTAATTTCTCTTACTAATTCTTTCGCTTTCTAGACGCTTGTGATGGGAAATCGCGATGATATCGACGAGATGTCTGCTGCAAGCTCAAATGTCCTTACACAAGCTCTCAAGCTTATCGACAAGTACGACCTTTACGGCCAGGTTGCTTATCCCAAACACCACAGGCAGTCAGATGTTCCCGAGATCTATCGCCTCGCAGCCAAAACTAAGGTTGTCTGATCCAAATCTTTTCTTGTGTCGCTAACTTCCGAGGTTGCTGCAGGGTGTTTTCGTAAATCCAGCTCTGGTTGAGCCATTCGGCTTGACACTTATCGAGGTTGACAATGTCGTTACGTTCTATCAAAATGCTGATTGTTTCGGTTTTACTTTGTTTTACAGGCAGCAGCTCATGGTCTTCCAATGGTTGCGACGAAGAATGGAGGGCCAGTCGATATAGCTACCGTAAGTGTGTGTCTTACAAACTTCGTGTTCTTTCTAACTTGGAAAACGTGAGCAGACTCTCCAAAACGGTGTCTTGGTCGATCCTCACGACCAGAAACAGATCGCCGATGGCTTGCTCAAGCTGCTAGCTGACAGAAATGCGTGGCTAGAATACAGAAGAAACGGCCTCAAGAACATCCACTTGTACTCGTGGCCACAACACTGCCGGACTTATCTCTCCAGAGTGGCACTGCCGAATGAGGCACCCACAGTGGCAGAGCGACGACGTCTACGGCAACATGGACACTGATTCCTTCGCCGACTCGCTCCGGGACGTGCAAGACATGTCCCTCCGCCTCTCGGACGATGGAGAGCGCAGCGGCTCGCTCAACAGCTCCCTGGAGAAAATCCTCCGGGGATCCAACAAGAACATTGAGCAACTCAAGCAGGCGTTTGAGAAACACATGCGAGCTCACGAGGAATCCGACATCTCGTCGCCGCAGCAGCAGAGTAATAGCAGTCACTCCTCGAACCGGCTGCCGTTTTCTCGCAAGAAACGGCGGTTCTTCGTCATCGCGGTCGATAGCTACGACGTCGAAGGGAGCCGGGACTGTCCTGCCAAGCCGATGATCAACGTTATACAGGAGATACTCAAGGCTGGCAAGTCGGACTCGGGTGGCCGAGCCACGAGCTTTGTGCTGTCCACGGCACTGACTTCGAGCGAGACTGTGTCGCTGCTGAGCTCCGCAGGAATTGGAGTGGCCGAGTTCGATGCATTGATATGTAGCAGCGGGAGTGAGCTACTTTACCCGGGTGGAGGACAAAATTCGGACGAAACCAACAACAACTCACAGAACCAAAGCTCGTCACCGGGTGATCAGCAGCTAGTTTCTGATCCAGACTACTCGATCCACATTGGATATCGGTGGGGTGGCGAGGACCTCTCCAAAGCCATGCAGCGTTTGATTGCCAACATGGGATCATCTCACAAAGATGGAGAGGGGAAAGAAAAGGAAGAGGACTCGCAGATGACCATCTGCGAGGAGGAGAGCCGGCGTCACTCGCACTGCCTCGCCTACAGCGTCGGAAGCGGCTGCGATAGCGACGTAAGTTCCTCCGGCTTGGAAGTTTGGTTTCTTTCTAACGCTTGTTTGATGATCATATCAGGTGCCGAAGGTGGATTACCTCCGACAAGCTCTGCGGATGCGAGGCCTCCGCTCCCATGCCATTTACTGCTTTGGAGCGACCAAGCTTCACGTCCTCCCTCTCTTCGCCTCCCGCTCGCAAGCTCTAAGGTATAAAAATCTCTTTTTTTCCCTTTCCAGATCCTCTTAAACTCGGAACTTTCAGGTACTTGTTTGTGCGCTGGGGGATTGACGTATCCAACATGGTGGTGTTCGTGGGCGAGGACGGAGACACGGACTACGAGCAGCTCCTGGGAGGGACGCACCGGGTGGTGATCCTCAAGGGGGCCGTGACCGCTGGCTCCGAGAGGCTTGTGCGATCGAGCAGCAGTTACACGCGAGAGGACGTCGCTCCAAATTCCTCGGACGGCCCCTACGTTGCCATCACCCAGGACGATTATAGCAGCGAACAGATCATAGATGCGCTCAAGAAATTTTGATTAAATTTCCCCTGTAATAAAACCCAGATCAAAATGGTTGAAGATCCATTGTGCACCGGGCTCTTAAAATTATTGTTGCGTATGCCGTGAAGAAAGCTTGCTTGCATGTTGTGCTTTGAGTACGGAATTAAGAAATTATTAATGCTAAAATGAAGTGCTCAACACATTGTTCTCGGGCTTTTATTATGCTGATGTGGATAACACGTGGCGAGCTTACGTGTCGGGCGACATGGTATCACGAATATGCGAATTGGTATAAATTTTGCACATGGTTTACGACCATATTCTAGTGTCGCAGAGGATCTTCCCGGAGATTTGCTGGTTGGCTCCCAGTGTTGGGATTAAAATCACCACAAAATCCACTTTGTGTGGCCCATGTGGCTTGTGACCACATGACCGCAAATCGCGATGGTACGGATTCTCCCACGTGGACTTTACCCACTCTTCAGCCTGTCACGCAGCGCCGCAGAATCCGGCCGCCACATCAGCGCTGTAAGATACGCTAGCCATCGCGGCCGTGCACTCTGGGGGCCGGCCATCGCACGGCTTAAAACCCCACCACGTGGTGCCCCGTCAGCGCGGTTTTTGGGCACCGGGATATTCGAGGATACACAAGGGAGAATTTTTTCCCAGTGTGGTCAGTAGGGAAGGAAGAGGGTGTGGTTTCATGGCGATGCTGGCGGCGGCGGTGGTGTGGTGAGAAGAATGTGGACCTGCCAGGCGATTGGTGGAGCTGGCGGCGCTGGCAGGGGGCCGCAGATCGATCGCCGCCCGGAAATGCGCTGCTAATTTGCTCTTGGATCGCTGTATTTCGGGAATGCTGGCGCCCCGATCCACGGCGCGCTGCCTCTAGGTCGATGGATTGGGCCCCGAGCTAGGATTGAGTAGGAGCTAGCTGCCTGGCACCAGGGATTCTCGATCTCTCCCACACCACACCGCAGGGTTAATGGATTTGGAGGGCCGGGAAATTCACGTCTTGGCTGTTGACGACAGCCATCTCGATCGCAAAGTCGTGGAGCGGCTACTCAAGAATTCGTCCTACAAAGGTTAGCCTCGTACTCTTTCTTCTCTTCGCTATACTCATACGCATTGGGACTCTTTTCTTTCCTCTTTCCAGTGACCACTGTTGATAGTGCTTTTCGAGCGCTGGAAGTTCTGGGCATTGTTGGAAGCGCTCCAGTTGTGATCAATGTAAGTAGCCATCTTCTCGTTCGTGCTCTTCTTCTTTCTTGTGCTGGATTGAAAACTCGTTAAATCGTTGTCGCTTGATCTGTATGGAATGAAAAAAAAGGTGATAGCTTTGTTGGGTGGTTGTGGTGGTGTTGGTGGATGCTAGCTAAGCTAATCTTTGGCTGATTTCCTCGAGATTTTCTTTGCTTCCTCTGGCTTTTGCTTTTGTTGCAGGCCATTAAAATAAACTTGATCATCACGGACTATTGTATGCCGGAAATGACAGGCTATGATCTGCTCAAGAAGGTCAAGGTACACGCTTTAATAAATTGTTTGATGCCAGTTGATGCATGGACACAGTATCTATCTGCATCGCTGTCAACAGGAGAGCTCGGCTTTAAAGGAAATCCCCGTGGTGATTATGTCCTCTGAAAACGTTGCGGAGCGAATCACCATGTAAGTCGGGCTCTCTCTCGAAAGAAAGAACAAAAAGAAACGAAAGAGTGGTAGAATATCATATTATACTGCAAGTTGGTTTCTTCGGGAACTGGACTGATTGCTACTCTTCATCATGTGAAAGGTGCATGGCGGAGGGAGCCAAAGAGTTCATTCTCAAGCCTTTGCGAGTGGCCGACGTGAAGCGGTTGCGTAGCCACATCCAGCGCCATGACGACGACGACGACGACGACGACGACGATTGCGTCGAGAGCTGCCGGTTGCCGTGCTTGAAACGAAAGCCCACTCTCACGGACGCTTCCAGGCTCGAAGAGGCGTCTTCGCTCAAGCGTCCCAAGGCTGCTCCTGGTAACTTAACAACAGCGACCATGGCGGACGCTCCCGAAAACACTAAGTGTCCTGCTACGAGTGACAAAGAAACGATCAGCGCAATTGTAGTGGATGGTGCTACCGCTACCAAATTGACAGAGAGCACGAAAGGAGAGCGGCTACTAAACCCGGTGGAGAGCATGACGTTGCGGAAGGTCGAAATCAATAACACTGTCGTCTCGTCCTCGAGACAAGCTCCTGCCATTGCGGGAGGGCTAGAAACAACAGGTGAAATTTCACCAGTCTTGTAGCTGTGCGTTTGTATTCTTTCCTGGATTCAAACACCGAAAAACTTTCACGCAAAGCTATATGTCATTGCGAACTAAACAACAGTGTGTTAGAGAGGAATAACTACTACGACTAGCTTACTTCTGAGAGGATCCCACGCGTTCCGAGCTTGTGAAGAAGCTGATGTCGCTGCTGGAACTCACTGCCAAGGTATCCTTTCGTATCAGTGTGAGTTGCTGGCTTACTTCTTGCATGGATGGTCGCTCTTTCCTTGATGGCGCTGCACACCGAAACGCCAACTCTGCAAGCTTTTCCATCGTGGGTGCAATCTCCGGATGCTTCTCCAGGTTTGGATCCAATATCTGTAAGATGTTTCCCTCCTCGAACTTCTTCCACGCCTGCAAATCCCAAAAGTGAGCTGCTCGTTTCTCGAAATGCAAGTTCTTACCCATCTTATAGTTACTCTCTCCTCGCCAGATCGCTTGAGCTCTATCGGACGCCTCGCCGTCATGGTTTCCACCATGACAATGCCAAAAGAGTAGACGTCGCTCTTTGGTGTCAGCTTCTTCGTGTAAAGATACTCTGTATCAAGATATCCAGCAGTTCCCTTCACTTCTGTGGAGACGTGAGTCGCGTCCACGTCCATTGGCCCCGCTCTAGAAAACCCGAAATCAGCTACCTTGGCACGAAACGAGTGTGTTAAAAGAATGTTTGACGATTTTACATCGCGGTGGATGATGGGCTCGTCTGGTCAAGAATCACGATGGAAACAAAAAAAAGAAAAGCGGTTGTTGCTACGTTTTCAAGTTTGAAAGTGACTGGTTTGCTGTACCTGCATAGTAATGGAGATATGTCAAGGCGTGAGCAACGTCGACTAAAATATCAATCCGGGTTGCGAATGGTAGCACTGTTCCTCGCAAAACTGCGGAAAATAAAATAAAATCATAGGCTCTGAGTTCTGAAGACGGCACTTACTTACCATCGAGGTGCTCACGAAGATTTCCATTGGGAACATACTCCACAACAAGGGCCCGTTCATCCTTGCCATCACAATAGCCGAACAGCCTCACGAGATTCATATGCTCCACCCTTGAGAGCATGCTCAATTCGCTTTTGAATTCCGTCGAAAGCCGTGTCTCGAAAGCATTCTGCATCATAATATGGCACTTGTAGCAAAAACAGGAAGAATAAAAGGAAAACCACACCTTCTTTGCTCTTTTAACAGCAACTGGAGTACCGTCACGAAGCTTTCCATAGTAGACAGTTCCAAATCCCCCTTGCCCGATCTTCCGAGACGGAGAGTAGTTCCCGGTCGCTTGGTTTATGTCACGAGCACTGAATGACACTGCCTCGTTGCTTCCCAGATGACTAGCCTCCTCCACGTTCACTGTGGAAGAACAGATTGAAAAACAGGCACAAAAGTACAATTCCCCCTTCAAAATAAGAGTTTCTCAGCACTTACAAGTGATGATCTTGAATGACGCCGCCTTCTGTTGTCTCTTGTACTTTGGGTTGAAGCAGGAGAACATCCTCGATGCAGCGTCAAATCCTACATAATCTCCTGCCTCCTATTCCCAGCCCGGATCAGATCACTGTGCCTCGAGCAAAGCTGTTAAGTCGCCGCCATAGCTCGTGCCTTCCTCTCGGACTTGTGCTTAAGCGATTGGCCAGAATATGCCCGCCGCCCTCTCCTCATGCTGGACTGGAAGTGTTGTTATTTAGCACCATCACGGTTTTTCTCCATCCCTGTTTACGCTGCTAATGTGCCAGTAACAATTTTCTTCCCAGGACCACCGTTGATAGCTGCCATCTCCTGGACGACAGCCTCCGCTGCTCCAAATCTCCCGGCCTTGAGCAGAGAGTTCACGAGAACTTCCAAGGCGCTTGGAGTCGGAGAGAAGCCAGAGCTCTTCATCTCTTCCAAGTATGCGAGCGCAACGTCCAGATTGCCAGCTCTCGCGTATCCTTCCACCAGAATGGCATACGTGATGCGGTCCTGCTGAACGCCGTCTCTGCTCATGTCGTCCAGGACGCTTGCAAAGAGATCAACTCTCCCGGCCCTCCCCAGCCTTCCCAGCAAGGTGTTGTAGGAGAATATATCCGGCTGGAAGTGAAGCCTCATCTTCTGGTAGCAGCTCCAGCACTCGTCGATCTTCCCAACTTTTCCCAGCAAGTCGATCAAAACGTTGTACGTGACCAGGTCCGGCTTGTAGTTCGGCCTGTCCTTGATCTTGTAGAAAATCTCGAGAGCGGCATGGGCCTTGTTCGCCTTGCCAAGCCTGTTCATGAGCGTGTTGTAAGCGCCCAGGTGCGGAGCGTTCTCGCTGTCGGCATATCTCTGTACAAAACCGAAAGCCTCGTCGATCCTCCCAGACACCGCAAACGCCTCCACCAAAACTCTGTACGACTTTGGATCCGGCCGGCACTCGTGCTCCACCATTCTCTCGAACAGAGCGATCACCTGTTCGTGCTTGCCACTCCTCGAGTGCGCGTCCATCATCATGTTGAAGAGCGCCAAGTTTGGCCGCAAGCCCCTGGCCAGCATTTCTTCCAGCAGCTCAAGCGTCACCTCCGTGTCCATGCACTTGCAAAACCCGTTGATGAGCGCCGCGTACGTGAACTCGTCCGGGTCGCAGTACTTCTTCATGTAGCTAAACCGCCAGCGCGCCTCCGCCATCTTTCCAAGCGAGCAAAGGCTGCTGATGAGGAAGTTGTACGTCTGCGTGTTGGGCCGGACGAGGTTCTTCCTCATGCTCTCGAAGATCATGGGCACCACCCGCGGGCACTTGAGCCGGATGAGCTTAAACATTATATAGTGGTAGTCGTCCAGCGTCGGCTTGATCTCCGAAAACTCCATCTTGTGGAACGTTTCCAGCGCGTCCTCCACCATGGACGCGTCGACGTAGATCCGGAGGAGGATCCTATATGTGACGTACGTCATGGGGATCATCTGTTCTTCCATCCCCAGCATCACCCTCTTGATCTCGTCGTAGCGCCTGTGCAAGCCCAGGATCTTGAGGATGGCGTTGCAAGAGAAGTTGTCGTGCTGGAAGCCCGAGTGGAGGTCGGCCCACTTGAAGAAGGCGTAGGCGAGCTCCACGTCCCGGGTGTAGTGCTTGAGAACCTCGCAGACGTGGTAAGGCATGAGAACCCCGCCATTGCTCCGGACAACGTCCTCGAGCTCCCAGGGAGAGACGCTGCCTTGCTCCAGGAGATGGCACAGATCGTTGACGAGCTCGTTGTCCCGGCGCGTGGGGCGATAGGTTTTGGATCCCAGGAGCTCGGGCAGCGCCATCCCGGCCAGGGCGGGGACTTTTGGGAGGGAGAAGCCGGCGATTTCGTCCGGCTCCGACCTCCGGACGATGAGATTGTGCTTCTTCGCGTAGGCGGTGGTGTCGGGCAGCGCCAGCGCGTGAGTGCCGCCGCTGCTGCCATCGCCGTCATCGTCCTCGTCCCTGTAGCTGTCGATCACGCGGCTGTCGATGATGAGGCAAATGCGGCGAGAGCGAACCTGGATTGGGGGCGAGCGGCAGCGGCGCCGCGGGAATGCGGCCACAAACCTCCGCAGCGCCATGGCGGACCCTAAAACCCTAAACCATGAACTTAGTTAATTAAACAATGATAGAGTTTTATTCTAAATGAATTTAAAACTTAATAGACATCTTGACGTTTGGGAGCTCTCCAGATACAGCTCTGTTCGACAGTGTTACAAACAATTATAAATCCTTTGTTATCTACACATAGAGACATTGGCTTCCATGAGTTTTTCCAGTAAATGTTATTTGCCCAAATCACATTCAGACTAATGTCATATATTACGAGATTACCATCCATTTGAATTGTTAAAAAGCATTGAGATCCCTTATTTTCAGTGTTAGTTTTCCATACCGTAATTTTACCGTTATAAAGTGCCAAAACACAGTTTGAATGCATATATAAAACATATCGTTTGTTAGTTGATTGCAAAAACTGGTTAGTTCCTAAACTAGAGAAAAATGAATAATCCTCTACAGTCCTGATACAGGAAACTCTCCATGTACAATCTTCTAAATTTGTTAAACTATTTGATATATATGATTCATTATACATTCTTCTAGAATTATATTTACCTTTTTCTACATTTGCAGTATATAAAATGCTATACTTTTTGTTAATATATTCAGTAATCCCATAATTTGAAATCTCACTATCCTTCTCTATGTAATCTTTATATATACCTCTTAATACGGGTTTTAAAGATGACCCACTATAAAGCGATGTATATTCCGGAAATAAACTGCAAACTGGCGGAAATGGTTGTGGATTAAAAAGTGTTAATAGAATTGTAAGTTCTGCATATCTGTATAATAATGAAGTCCCTGCATAATAGGGCTCACCATTGTTAATCTGATTTATAGCATTGTCAATTGCTTTTAAAACTAAATTTTTGAACTCTAAAGAGCCTTTATGTGGATTACTTCTTGAAACTACAATTGCCAATTTGTTAGGAATGAAAATCATAAATATTAAAAATAGAAAAGGAGCTAAATAAACCTTCATTTAAAGAAGGCAAAACTATTTTTAACTAACTTATAAATAAATTATAAGAAATGGGTGGATATCACAAGACATCACAGCATTCGTAACTCCGTCAATAAATATTGGGATTTTCAAATTAAGAATATCTATTAATACATTGTGTCTACTGAACAATAAATACTTAATATTGTATTGATAAGGAAATTTAAATCATCTATCACAATAAATAGATAAAATATATTTAATATGTTTTGTATTTTCATTTCATATTTGCTTATAAAAAAGAAAAGTGTAGATAATACAAGTAAATTTTGAGATGAAAATAATCGAGAGAATTGTAAGCGTGTCAATCTTAAATTACAGCTGTCTGACACAAAATTAGTATCACAAATATGACTAGTATCGCTTATGACAAAAGTGTATTCCCAATAATAGTTAAGAATAAAAAAGCATTAAATTCTCTATTATAATTTACAATTTTTTGATATAACTTAAACTATATATATGGATATCAATTAATGCATGATGAACTAAATATTAAGAATTCCAAAAGACTGTATTAAATAAATTGCTATGTATTGCGTGCAGCAATGTTTGGTTTGCTTAATAGTAGTGTTATTCTTACTTATTAATCTAATTGATTAAATTCCTCTTCTTCAGAAGGTTCAAAGTAGGTCCATGGCTTCAAATAAAGTTTATAATTATAATCATGTTTGTAATTTATAAATAAAAGATTAATTTTATTGCACATCAACCATTAGATGATAAAATAAAAAAGAATATACTTAAAAGGGTTTAAGAAAGTTTATAAATTATAAATATGTTTATAAATAATAAATATGTTTATAAATAATAAATACAAGATTAATCTAAATGAATAACATCTATTAGATGGTAGAATATCCTAGAATATCCAAGAATATTCTAGGTATATTCACTACTGTCCTAGTCCCCCCTAGAGGTTTGCTTAAGCAAGCCAAAAAGAAAATTAAACTTAAAATAAAACTATTATTTTCTAATAAATTTTTCAAACATATGATAAACAATAGTAATTATTAAGAAATATAAAATTTTAAACTATCAAAAAATGTTTTTCTTCTTATACAATATGAAAATAATATAATATCAAGATTGAAAAGAAATGTTATTTCACTTCTTTATATTATAAACACATAATAACAAGATAATCAACAATTGTACAAACTATTATAAAGGGTTCCAAATGTATAGTAGAGATAGCAAATAAGTTAGAAGTATGGCCAACCAATTGAGATATTGTTTAGCTCCCCATTGGGTATATCTATTTTTATTTTGCATTTAACTTGGATTTAATTTTGTGGAGTATTATTGTGTTATTGTTGCAAATATGACTTAGAGTATCGAAAAATACTTGGAAACTAGTATTTATAAATATTCTTTCCTTATTGTCATAATGGTAAAAGGTTAGTATAGTTGGTTCCCTTTATAATTCCCATTTGAAGTAATTAAGAAACTGGTTACCACATGTGTACTTAGATTGGATAAACATAAAGTAAAAACTCCAATCTATTTTTTGTCAAACATACTCAACCCAATTTGAGAAACTCATGCCACTTGTTAGTATCAAAAACTTCAATGATATTAAATCTAGTCCCTCAATATTGTTACATAATAGTTTACTATATCCATTAAACACCCTCACTATCATACCCCAAATGTTGGTTATGTTTTAGTTTTATGTACTAATTTAAAAGTCATATCTATAAAATATAAAGAATATCCTAAACACCATAATGTTATTCCTATGCCCTAATTCATGATCAATATATTTAATAAATTTTAAAACTTATCCTAAAAGCTAAAAGGGGGGAAGGGAAATTCCAAATATATAATAAGGATTGTGGTCGAAAACATAATTAACCATCTAATCACATTAGTTTGGCTCTCACTAAGTTGTCTCACTCCTTGTTTTGTGTCCAATTTTAGCTTAAGCACAAGTTTTATGTTGCTCTAGTTGGTAGTCTACCCACCTTCTTGCATTAGGCCAATAGTATGCTAAAATTGTACTAGACACCATTTAACACCATTTTATTAATAGGAGTTAGAAAGGGGGAGCTTATGCTTATAAGGGATTTTGAGTGTATATCAAACTTTTGTTTCATATCGTAACAAGCTTAGAGTTTTGCTCCAAATTCGTGTACTATAGTGGTAATTAGACTCTATTTAACTTTGTTTTGTGTGCTGGTTTTAACATTAAAATTCTAAATACTCTAGAATTGTTTTAGTATGCTTTTATTCCTTCATTTTTTGATTATACACTCAAGATTTTAGCTCCTTCCTTTCATTCAGCTTTAATATTGAAGAGTTCTTGTGAAACCAAGGTGAAACAAAGCAAAAAAGAACTAATAAATTAAATGAAGTTTGTTTGGCTAAATAGATATTTAAGAACCATTTTTATGCTCATCTGACCAATTGCAAATGTTAAATTTAATTTATTAATACTTAAACAAAAAGGACTAACAAATGGAACCAATAGTATAAACCTTATGCCAATATAGCAGTCCAAAAGGACTCTTCAACAAGTAATTTTTAATACAATAACACATAAAAGGGAAAAGTGTCAATAGATTTATGTAATAATACTTTTGAATATACGATTAAACTATTTAACAAAGCTATCCTTTTTCAGAATGATTTCTTAATATTGAGTTACACCTCAATAAGCTTAAGAAAACTATGATGTAAAACCACTATTTATAAAAAAAAATTACACAATGAAATATTCAGGAAGGCACACACTTCAATCCATTGAATTAGGTAATAAGATGCAATAATGCTCTTATGATACCCTAGAATACATTTTGGTAACGACCTCATCAAATTGTACACAACCAATTTAAATAGATTAAAAACTTTTAATAACCCAACAAGCAGTACTATGGAGATGAATGTTAACACTCTTCACAAATTTTGATGTGCTTAAAGATATTCTAACACATATGAGGTTAATATAGTGACTATCTCGTTATGAAGATCTTAAAGTGCTATACTTTTCAAACTTTTTGATGTAGTTAAAGATATTTTGATGTATCCAAAGCCAATACAACTAATGTCTTGATGCATCTAATGTAAGCGACTAATTTTTCCATTCTACTTTAGTCACTTAACCACACCTCCGACCACTTGGAGGAGTCTCATTCACAACCTCCATAAGTCCAATTCAAGACTTGGGACTTGCTAGCCCCGAGAATGGCATCCATGCCACTCAACATTTGCACTTGGTCCAAGTGCTCCACGTGTCCGATCCCATGACCGACACTCAAAGGTACCACCGACATGGCAGCTTGTTACGCTAAGGCCATGCCCAATCACCTTTGCCACACTTGTAGTCCAATACCACTTGCATCACAGTCTTGGCTCTCTAAGACTAGGCAAACCATCCGTGAGTGGTCATCCCAAATCCACTCTTTAGCATCCTTAGGATGCCCACCGACAAGGGGAATAGCCTTCCCCAATATCCCTCTGTCAGTCCCCACTAAGTCCCTTTCTACCCTTGGCCGTGTTTGCCAACACTGCCACTGGATTGAGGCCCACAGGCCCGACCACTAAGTCCCACAGTCCTCTGGGACTTCCTCACCGTGTGACCGTATCCTTGGTCACTACATTAGAGGCCTACTCCTCTTCCCTTTCACCGTTTGGGACTTTGGGACAACATTTCGGAACACCGTGGCCTTACGCAAGCCTCATGGGTACTCTCCCCGCCTTTCGCCTTTAGGTGCTCTAGCCATGGGCTTAGAGCGAGGTTCCGTTGAGCCACGACAGGTATCCAAGTAGGTAGTGCCACCCACACTTGGACTGGGAGCATCGGCCAGTCAATCTCTCGGGGGAACTAGAGCCGGCTCTTGAACACTTCACCAAGCTACCCCGCTTGTCGGTCCATGTTCACTCTAGTCTTGGACTTCCCAGTGGGCACCTCATCACCCAACATTGGGTCCGGCCTTCCTGGGCCAAACTGGCCTTTCCTGGCCAAATTGGCTCCACTGCAGTCCTCCCCCTTACTATACTTTTGGAGCTCACCAAACCCCCCAGGGTCTGGGAGACGAACGCTTTGGGC